TTCTAGGTAAAAGCATTCTAGGTAAAAGAATGCAAATGGTCTGTCGTCTCCGTCCCCCCCCCCCCCCCCCCGTCGACAAGAATTTCTTTGTTTTTTTTTACTGCAAAAACTAAGACCGGCCCCCGACCACAGAAAGGAACAGCTATGTGGCCCTCGCAGGAAAAAGTTTGGGGACCCCTGCTCTAAAAGGAAACAAATACCTGACCAGACACTATGTTAGCTCCACGTTTGGAGCTAACGTGTGCTAACACCGCATGCTGTTAATTTAGCTTATCCCTGTTTCCCGATCACAGCTGAGCTAACTGAATGCCTAACATCGTCTTGCCCATCAGACCTCTGTTGACAGTAGGTTGGGTCAGGACAGCTTTGAATGATCAACTTAAGTGTTTTTATTGTGTATTTTAATGGTTTTCAGGGCTTGTTCCAAACAGAGCAGGACGCACATGCTAAAGCTAGCAAGAGTTCGGACTGTTAAAACTTTATTCCAGTGAGTGTTTTATTCACCGATAGTCAGGATGGGTTGAGATCGTCTCCTTTATTGATATTTTCCTTCCCCTTTTTACAACTCAGTTCCATAAAATAACCATTAAGAACTTCTTAATCTCTTAAAGCTAATGGAATTTAAGCTAAAAACATGGCTAATGTATTCAAAACATAGCTATTTGCTGTTGATGTAGTTGATGCAATGAACCACTAACACTCATACACAGTTGATATTATTTACTGTGTTTTGCTGATTTAAGCAGCAAAACATTAGATTCTTTGTGTTATTTTAAAGTGTTTCTTGGTATTCCAAATTATTATATTTGAATCAATCACTGCGGTAACGGTTAGATAAAAATCAAATGTCTAATACATCTTTTTGACAGACCCTCAAAATGAAAAAAAAAAAAGAAACAATACTTGAGATGACCTTTGACCCCAAAACAAGGTTCCTCCCATCTGCAGCAAAGTCACCGAGCATGCCCTAACACAAACTGTTACACACCTGTGATTTATTTCAGAGGTAACATTGGAAAGCAAAAGTTTCAATTTTAAAAAAGTGGTTTGCGATAAAAATAATCATGAAGTGTAAGAGTCAGAACACTGGATTCACAATAATGTGATATTTACTGCTTTACTATTAAAACTGAAACATGAAAGTTCTCTCTAGCATTGTTTTAAATCTGTAGGTTCAATGAAGCTTCACCTAAAACACAAGACACAAAGACTCAATTCATACAGCATTACTGAAGCTGAAATGGCTTTTCTTATGACCAACTAAATCAATACACATAAACACAGAGAAGGTTCAAAAAGACATCACAGGACAATTATTATTGACAGAGTATTTGAATGTGATTAGAAAGAGACAAAGACACAGCAGGACAACATAATCCAAAACATGTTCAGTAAGACAGCACTGCAGCAAAGCAACATTACTGAGGCTAGTTTATAAAAAAAATACAAATTTTAAAATACAAGTTATTGAAGATTGTGAAAATTACAGAGAAAAAATTACAATACATTGCCTTACAAAACTACAATACATCCTTCTGCTGCCATCGTACAAAACGTCACTCCTTTTAAAGCTTTTAAAGTTTGTTGTCAATGTGGATCGCTTCAGAAAGACCCAAAGTTGCTGGATCTGGATTAGCGTTCTGTTAGAAATGAGACGGAAATTTAAGCTGTACTTAAAGAGCCGTGATCCAGTTGAGCAACATCTGAGTGTCAGAAATGATCAGTTTCAGTTTCTCTCTTCGTATCAATAAAAGCTCATTGTGAAAAAAGGAAAAAAGAATCTGTATTAACATACAGCAGATTAAACAGAACATGAGAAGAACTACATAGTCAGTATTAGTGAGTGGCTCCAAAGTGGATTTTGCTCAGGCAGGATTGCTACCCAGTAGATCTACCCTTATGTGTAAATGTTGTCAAGGTAAGTTGCAATATCTGCATATTTTCTAAAACTGCTGTGAACAGGATGGAAATATTTCAATTTAGACAACTGCTATAAACTTGTATAGAAACACAAAACAGGAAGAGCAGATTATACAACATTAAAACTTATTGTGACTGATGTAGAAATTGATATTAATTGTCCTCCCAAACTGAAACTAAAGTGCTTCTAAAGCTGACTGGTTTTTTAAACACCTGTTGTGGATACTGGCTCATCACTGAGGTTTTCTGGAATGCTACCAGTAGCCATGTCACATTACTACAATGTTCAACATGTAGTAAATGTCTCGGCAATGTTGGGTGCTGTGATGGTGCACAAGTAAAGCACAGGCCAAGTACAGAGGCCTTAGTCCTCAAGTCCCGACCTGATGACCTTGGCCACATGTCCTTCCTTTTAGAGCAGTTTCCTGTCTGTCTAAAAAATAAAGGCTGCTTGAGCCAAAACCCCCACTGGTGCTGTCATGATCCTGTGCTTTTTTTCTGAGTTTAGTTTTTTGATTATTTTCTTGTTTGATTCTAGGTGCCGTTTATTAGCTTATTCTGTTATATGCTAGCCTTCCGGTAGCTCAGTTTTTCACCTGAGCTTTGGTTTACATTCTCCTCAGCTTCCTGTCATTTTACGCCTTCCCTCAGTCTGCCTGCCTGGTCTCTGCTCTCAGCTGTCACTCTTAGTAATCGAGCTCCTCACCTTGTTTCTCTTTGCTGGTTTCTCACGTTTACTCTTGTTAGCTTACCTTGTTGTTACCAAGTGTCACATTTACTTCATGGTCTTCCGTCTGTTGAATCCCTGTCTGTTCTGTTTGTTAGTCTGTGATATGTGTTAGTTAATTTTCTTAGTTGTGTTCTCTGAAGTTACATCTCTGCCTCCAAATCTGCCTGACTTTTGGATTCAACCTTAACCAGCAGCTCTGAAAGGAGCATCCACAATTTGATCACAAGTTAAACCGGGAATGTTTTGGATGCAGCAGCAACAGTGGCTGAGGAGGCAGGAGTTCATTCTGTACATGGTGGGTTACTAGTTCGAGCCCCATTCTGTTTGTCCTTGTTTCTTTTGATAAGACACTTCATCCACCACACCTACTTATGGTTCCGACTGAACAGCTGAATACCATCAGTGTGTGAGTGACTGAATATAAAGAACTATGGAGTCTTCTGGACCGGATAAAGTGCTACACAAGTACAACTCACTTAACATCTTCACAACTTTGATATGCCTTACACACGATGCATGAACTCCACTATTAGACAAACAATTGAAATGTCTCAGCCACGAGCCAACAGTAAAACTCCATCTCACGCTGCACCACACAGACACTCTAATGAAGATTCACTCACCTCAGCATGTTGAATTCTTGGACTAGCTTTAACTGACTGTCTTAAACGCAGCATTAATTAGTCCACTCAGAGGCTCTTAAGCATCCAACCTTCACTTCCTGATTTTTATTTCAGCTGCAAATAATTGAAACAAAAGAAAAAGATTCTCATGAAAACAACTTCAGTTTTTTTTTAATGAATTTCTTAACTCTTTCTTTAGAGTAGATTTAACATGGAAGAAATTAAATATTTAAAGGGAATTAGCGTGAGCAGTACTGTAGTTACATTTGTTAGTAAAAACCATCTCTGGGTTTAGCAGGAAAACTGACTATGTTGGTCACTTTGCATCATGTTGCCTCCATCAGATGTTTGACATCATCAGAAACGGAGATATCAATGTTGGGATCCTATACGTCAACTTTTTGGCACCAGTCTACCAAGATGGCAGCCGTTGTCCTCACAGAGTGGTTTTATTACAAAATTTTATTCAAGGTGAACCAATAAATGCCAAATGAGGACAGGATGCCATCCCACGGCAGTGTGTGACCAGAAAAGAGTTTCAGGAAGTACTTCATTCACCAACCAGTCTAACAACGGATACAAAGCAGTACCAGAACAAACTGTTTGGTTTAGGCAAAATCCAAACATAATCAACGTCGCTGCTCAACGCACAAATGTTCTTACATTGCAAAGGTGAAACTATTTCAGAGGGAAAACAGGCTTTTCAACGGTTTAAGATTCATTTCCAAAAAGGCAAAATTACAACAAAGACCAACCCAAACACATAACTTACTGTTTGTGCCAACACAGAAATGAACACAATGCTAAAGAAAGGAAAGGAACAACTTTTATTTTCAGTGGTAACCAAATAAAAAGAGAAGATATAGCAAAAATAAATATATTTTAGTCATCCCTGAATTAATTATAACTCTACTCTATTTCTAGACATGTAAGTACTTGTAGAAATTAATGTATTTTTCTTTAAGTTAATTCAACCCAATTTTGCAACAATCAACCAGATGTAAAACTATGACAACATCTGGCGTCAGTGCATTCTGAATGGCTTGGAAAGTAAAGTGCATGCATTCTGTGTGTATGTGTGTGTGTGTGTGTTTTCTTGGACACCTATACTTCACACTACTGACTTTTGATTGATGTTGCTAAATAATGATTGCTCAACTTTTCCAGGTTTGACTTTTCAGTCAACAGAATTAAAAGTCCTCTCTCTCTCTCTCTCTCTCTCTCTCTCTGTCTCTCTCTCTCTCTCTCTCTCTCTCCCATTAACCAGGTGAGATAATCTGATTCAGTGCTGTATCCAGATACTTACAAATTGTTTTTCATATACAACACAAGTGTAAAAGTACAAACACCAACAAGCTGTACAAATAGCAGAAAAGATCAACATGAATCTACGTTTTCTTTTTTTTACCATATTTTACACAAAAACATTATAGCTGAAGATCCGTCTTGACTTGGAAACATCACCGGTTTCCAAACCTGAGTCAAGTAGTTTTTAATTTTTTCTTCTTTTTTTTGAGAACTCTTGAATACTGGAGATGGAAAAATCAACAAGTCCACCCAACATTTTTTCTGTACTTAGAAACCAGTGTACACTACAGCGATAGAATCATGTGCAGGTAGGAAGCTACCAGAAAGGTGGATATCCAGTGTAGGTAGGGAGCCGCAGCACGCAGGAATCGGCAACAAAGGTGAGCAGGTGATGACCTCATGGCAGGCAGGCAGGCAGACAGCGTGTGATTGGTCAGCTGCTGGGCACAGAGAGGGCATGGCGAAGGTAAAATGTCCACGGTAGAAAAGACAAAAGGTCAGCAGTCTCAACAGTTTGCTTTACATCTCGATGTGAGCATCTTTGGCTGGTCTGCTGTCCTTTATTGAGCCGGAGATTGTGTAGAACCTGAAAACAGAACCAGCAAAAAATATTATTATTGTTTAGATGCAGGTGTTTGTCAGACACTTTGTCAGTTGGGCTGTGGTTGCCACTAAATACATCTTGTATTACCTTGTACAGTGTATTTTTTATTGATGTTTTATTTGTTATGATTATACATGCATATGTTGCTTGTTGCTATGGTTTCTCTTTCTCTCTGTCTGCAGGTTTAGGGGCAGATGTCTGCCATGTTGCCTTGTCTTCTCTCTATGCTTCTATCTTCCTCTTTAAACCTTTCCCCTGCCTTCCTCCACTACTATTCTCCTTCCTCATCTCTCCATCAGTTACATTTGAAATAAACTCAAATCCATTTCTAATAAAGTTTATATTTACAGCTCTGGAAAAAATGAAGAGACCACTTAAAATGACCAGTTTCGCTGAGTTTACTTTTTCTAGATATTTGTTTGAGTGAAATGAACATTGTTCTTTTATTCTATGACTTACTGACAACATGTCTCTGAAGTTCCAAACAAAAATTTAGTATTTAGTAAAGATGCAGTGCTTTCATACCTCAAATAATGCAAAGAAAACAAGTAGATATTCATATAGTAACAACAATACCAATGTTTGAACTCAGGAAGAGCTCAGAAATCAAGATTTGGTGGAAGAACCAGGAGGTTTTCTTTGTTTTCATTTTTTCCAGAGCTGTATATTTAAAAAAAATCTATATTTTATGGGTATTCTATGTGAACTTTGCAATGTGTATTCAGGGCAAAACTGACAACCAGCTTACACTAATGTGCAGTTTTGGAAATTAAATCAATATAAACAGGCAATTAAAGCTGAGCTGTCAAATACATGTGAGGATTGTATTCATTTCTACCAAATG